CATTTACATTCTGAAGCATAAGATTTCATTATCCTTATCTTAGTAGGCATAAGAGCTAGGGTTAGTAGCCATGAAATTATTTAATGCTTTTAAGAATTCTGGCTACAGTATCTGACTCTCTCACCTCTTTAAGGCTGACTGCACACAGTGCATGACATTTTCTTTTATTTCCTTTAATTTAGTTGTTAGAATGATGTATCATTTCATTTGTATGATGAAAGAAAAAAGGAAGATCTCAACTGCAGTCTCCTCTTAATCCTAAATAACACTCAAAAGTAATCCTAAACACTTTTCAACATGAAACACGTTAACACCAGCATTCATTCTTTTAGAAAAGTCCTTCAGAATTCAGCTTTAGTTAAAAGTTTTTAAACTAAATTCTCTATTATGTTATAGAATGATCGATTAATACATACCTTGATATTATTATTTTTTTGTTGCTTTATTTTTTTTAACTGAGTCAAGTTTAGTAAACTTACTTTTGTTCCTTATTACTTCCTTTACACTGGTAAAGTCTTGTCTTGCCAGTGTCTTTATGTGCTTATTCTAATTACATGCCTATGAAATAGTTATCCCCATTCTAGAATTGGAAATAAAGACATAAAGACTAAGGAATTTAGCCAAGATTGTGCAGAAGGCCGTTGACAAAGCAAGGACAGATTCAAGTGCTATCCCATTGCCTTAGCTTATTGGAAAAATCCCTATTCTTAAAGAGAAAAGCTCTTCGGTTAATACTTTCTGCCATGGATTCAGTAATCTAGAAATTCCCCAAACAACATATGCAGCTTTCCTAGTGTCACAACACAGGACTGAAAGTGCAAGCCCTATTTAAATGTCTGCATGTCATCTTGATCATTACTTGGCTTTGCAGTGGAAAAAATAAATCTACAGTATGCCTAACTTTAGTGAGAGTTATTGGAGGTTTGTTTTTTATATATAAATAGTATTTTAACTTGATTAAAAAGTTAACTCTAATCAGACTGATGTTTCACATCTCATCTAAGTCAAATTAATTCAAATTTATCTTCCTTTTTTTTAATAGCATAATCACAGTTATAATACTACTGTGACACAGTATTTACCCCATGAGGTTGAGACCTGCTTCAAAACAGCATTTTATGTCTCAACTTTTTCTAATGTGCTAAACTTTAATTCTAGGCAACACATCCATCTAGACTAATGGCATATTGAAATGCAAAGAAACTTCTAATTCTCGAGCTCCTGTATGTTTTCTGAGATGTTCCATATAATTTTTTTGTGATTATGTGTCTGTGGTTTGCCTTGTGTAAATCTGTCTCACTGAATGTAGATCTCCTGCTTGCTATCACAAGCTGCAGTAGAACTTGCAGTTGAATTATAAGAAATTCCTCTTCTCCCTTAAAATGGAGAAGGGAACAACCGCAAATGAATTGTATGTATACGGCTATCTTGTAAATGCATCAGAGTAGCTCCTCACTGCCCTTTTGTACATACTGTATGCTGTCCATAAAGATGCCATATTTTCTATTATTAACCTGAAAAGAAGGTTTCTGCTGGAGAAGGCTCCCTGGTTAGCATTCTTGGCCACGAGGGCACACTGCTGGCTCATTGTCAACTCATCATGCACCACGATGCCCAGGTCCTTCTCTGCAGAGCTGCTCTCCAGAAGGTCAGTGCCCAGCCTGTGCCCTCGTGGCCAAGAAGGTCAGTGGGATCCTGGGGCACGTTAAGAGGAGCATCTCCAGCAGGTCGAGGGAGGTGATCCTGCCCCTCTACTCAGCCCTGGTGAGGCCACATCTGGAGTATTGTGTCCAGTTCTGGGCTCCACAGTACAAGAGGGATGTGGAGCTGCTGGAGAGAGTCCAGCGCAGGGCCACAAGGATGATCAGGGGCCTGGAACATCTGCCCTATGAGGAGAGGCTGAGGGAGCTGGGCCTGTTCAGCTGGAGAAGAGAAGGCTGAGAGGGGACCTGAGCAGTGTCTAGAAGTACCTCAAGGGAGGCAGTGAGGAGGATGGTACTGGTCTCTTTTCACTGGTGGCCACTCACAGAACTAGAGGAAATGGCCACAAACTGAAGCAACCAAAGTTCCACAGAAACTTAAGGAAAAATTTCTTCAAAATGAGGGTGCCAGAGCACTGGAACAGGCTGCCCAGAGAGGTTGTGGAGTCTCCTTCTCTGGAGATCTTCAAAACCCATTTGGATGCAGTCCTGTGCCACGTGCTCTAGGTGACCCTGCGTGTGCAGGGGGGTTGGACTAGATGACCTCTAGAGGTCCCTTCTGACCTTAAGCATTCTATGATTCTGTGATTCTTAAAATTCTTGTAATTGTTAGCATTAAGTTGGCATTAAGTCCTCATGTGCTAGTGACTCTTGTGTCTGACTGCACAGAAGCAGCCGTGCTCGTAGCTGTCTGAGAGGAGGTTCTCCAGCAGGTCCTGCCTGGTAGGATACTGCTCCTTAGGCTCTCCTCAGCCAGCACCAGGCAAGGTGACCTAGAGGGTTGAGACAACAGGTTATCTATTTTCATCTCCTCTTTTGACCCTGTTCTAAATCTTGAAACTGCTATAGAGCAGCTGCTGCTGCACATCCCGCAGGACAGACCCTTTTTGTGATAATATAGAAGCCTGATAGCATATGGGGAGCTTCTTCCTACTAACGAGAGCGGGGAGGTGCATGGGGGAATAATTCCGGGAAGTAGAATCATGAAGTAATCGTCCTTGTACGGCAGTTCCAAATTATCATCAGCCCATAAATAAATTAGTTTGTCCTCAGTAAAAGAGTACAAGGGCTGAAGAGCTGCTGCCCCTGAGAACAGGTAAGGAGCCTTTACAACACTTGTCTACAGTCACTTTCCAGAGCCTTTCCATTTGGACAAAATGCACCACACCTGTGTACTGTGGTGTCACAGGCTGTGCACTTATCTAGCTGTCCCTACGAACCAGGAGTAGGAGGTTTCCTGATTTATTTTTCTCTAAGAGATGCTTGGCTGAGTTCTGGTCAGTCTCGATCATGGAGCTTAGAGGTTTGTTTGTTGTTTGTCTGTTTGTTTGTTTTTGCTTCTCCCCATCCCCACTGTTCACTGCTACTGTGCAAGATTGATGCAATCAGTAGCCAGGAGGGAGGACTCTGAAGCAAAATACTGATTTTCAGAATTTCAGCCTTAGAAGACAAGGTCCAAGAAACACAAGGAAAGGCAGAAAGCAGTTGACTGTAAATATAATCTCAGGAAATGCAAAATGTCTTTACTTATTTAAATCTCTTTAATGTTTCCCAAAAGTAATGTGATAAACTTGATGTTTTTCTTTGGTTGGTTTGGTTTCTTTGTTTGTTTTAACAGCACAGAAATGGATCTTCCTCTGCTAAACTGTAGGGAAGCATCCGTTGGAACACTAGTGTCTAGCATATCACATCATAAATTGATCAGCTAAAAAGACTGATCTCTTTGATAGCTTATGCTTTCCGTTATATTATTAATACTGCCATATAAATACTTACTGAAATCACTGAAGTCGCAAGAAGCAATTATTTTGCCCGTATGATGATTTAAAATGCTTTTCCTCCTGAAATGTCTAAATGAGAGCTTTCAAGTCCATGTCTTTTGGTTGTGAATTCAGTTGGTAGATATCAAATATAACAAATATTCAGTTCTAAACAGGGATTGAGGAAAGGGCGGGTACGGTGCCGTTTGAAGTCTATCTAGATTAATCTGAGTCCAGTAAATGCCTGTAAGAGAACAAAAATAGCAGAGTGTTAGTTTGTTTCTGGCAGGGACCCCCCTGCTCGCAGTGACCGGTACCTTGGGGCCTCGCAGAGCTGAAGGTGGCATCTTTGTTTAGAATTGGGATTTAAAGCCCTCCTGCTCTCTCCTTGCACCTCTGTCTATATATGTCCAAGTTCAGGAACTAAATTACTTCCATCCCTTTGCCAGACTTCCCCCACGTCCAGGTAGTTCCATCTATGGCTTTCACCAGTAGCATTGCAACATTTGTGTTCCTGTTCTGTAATTCACAGTCTGTTATTTTCTGTTGCTTAACTGAGGTTATGCCTGAAATTGTGCATCAGATGTCAAAGCAGTGCAAAAATATTGCACTCAAAAAATCCTTCATATCTTTGTGTACCAAAAAAAAAAAAGTTTCAATTGATCGTGTAAACCTACTCTTGTTGTCAAGGGCCCGTCGAACTTATTTCTGTTAGTCTGATGGAGACTGAATTCACGGAGGTGCCTATGACGTGATGCTATCGCTTCTTCACTGCAGCCACGTCACTTACTGAGAGGCTTTTTACAAAATGAACAAAGAATCCCCATAGAATCTGAATCAGTTTGCAGGAAATGAAAAGATTACAAGATTTTTACTTAAATGGAATAATCAGCCACATCAGAACTGGGATGTTTGTGAATCTGTAGATAGCTAAGAATGCTTTTATCTTGTTTCCTTACTGCCTTTTTAGGTAACAAAGGAAAATGTTGTTTTTCCTCCTACATTCTCTCCTTCAGTTCTTAATAATTATATGCTATCACTAGGACATACCTTACAACCGCTTTTGCAAGGCAGTATTCTTGCAATTAAATCAATTTTTTATTTCAGAACTTGCTCATGAGCATCTATTTAGCTCATTTTTGACACATGAATAACCAGTAGTTACTGATTATTACAAATAAGAATAGAAGTGTCTAGAATCTTCACACTGAATCTGAGTTTTTAAAACAATGGGGCAAGATACTCATCATTACCCAAGTCAAAGGTAGTGTGGACAGTGCGTTCATTCTCAACGTGTAACAAATAGCAGAGCTTCAGTTTAGCATTGACCTAGTGCTCAGAAGAAATCTTAAGCTGTTTCCAACTTGAGTGTCCACAAATAGTTTGGCGATGTGGGATTTAGCCTTTAGGAATTAAATAATTGTATGGTATAGCTAAAATTTCCTGAACATTTTTATTTTACATCTTGGAATGTGTATTTGTATAGAAAACCTTTTTTTTCAAATTACTTGCCAAAGCCTGTTTTCTAATTTAATTTCAGCTGGACAGCTTAGCCAGTCAGCACACTTTGCTCTCCAGTTGCCATACAACGTGCTAGGCTTGGGACGCAGCGCTAATTTCCTCGACCATTTGTATGTTGGCATTCCTCGTCCTTTGGGAGAAAAGGTTAGTTCAGATTTAAGCTTGAATTAAGTTATTACCTATGTTCTTACCTTTCCTAGTAAAATTGGGGTGAAAATACTGTGAGGGACACATTTCAGCAGAAGCTCAAGGTAGTAAGTTTGAGCACAGAAAAGAGTTTGCCAAAATGAAAATACAACCAACCACCCCTGGAAAAAAAAATTTGTACATGCCCCTTGGGAGGGAATGCAAGCTCTGGTGAGCAAGAGCAGAAGATGACTGAAGCTGTCTACAAATGTTAGCACAGGTCTGTAGTGCTCATTTATATGGTAACAGTGTCCAGTTATTGTGGTTTCAGCTGGAAGTTTTCCTGGGCTTGGTCTGGCTGACATGTAAATTCACACTGTGACTTCTGCCTCAGGGAGAGAACCATGAGCAGCACGGTGGGAGGGGGGATCACAAGGATTACCCAAGCACCAGTAAAACACAAAAATAGGGCTGCAAGCTTTGAAGATTTCACAGTCCTACTTTAAAAAGAGAGGTATTCACACTACTGTTTTAGTCAATTTTTAATTTGGATAATTGCTTTGCTGGCGTAAAATGCCTTTCTAGCATCAGTTCTTCTCCTTGTTCCCTGTTATATTGCTGCTTTGTACTTTTCAAGTAGAGGTTGTATTGCATGTCAGCAAAACTTGCTTTGGTTTTTACTTTTATTCATTTTTACAAGTGCTTTGGGGCTTTCAGGTTAAAAGGTACTTATAAATGTAAAGGAATAATTGCTCTTTTTTAAGAAAAAAGAGAGGGTAATATGGTAATTTTAGCTTTTTTTCTTTTTTTTCCCTTGTTCTATGTTACAACAGAGAATTTCAGAATACTTTGCTTTAAAGTATGTTGATTTATAAGGAATTGAGATAGCTTTTGTTTTTCTTTCAGTCGGTAAGAAAACAGGAATGGACAGCTATCATACCAAACTCTCAACTTATAGTCATTCCATATCCTCATAACGTTCCTCGAAGGTAATTTCATCATTCTGAAGCGCACTTCACAAAATTACATTATTAATGCAGAGTTTAGGCATGATGTATCTTAAAAATATATCTTATATGGGAAGTAAATTTAAAAACAACTAAGAGGAGGGACAAATCTGTAACTATGAATACAGCAGAATATTTGTAAAGAAATTATATAGACTCTTATATAGTCACCATAAACATTTGAAATCTATTATCAGCTCCGATCCTATAAATAAGATCCTATAAATTTGCTAGATTTACCAATCTTCTTTCTGATAAAAGGCAAGCATGGTAGTGGCTGAAGCAGGCATTTTTGTTGCATCAAACATGCAATTTGTATCTAGTTTCATTAAAAAAGCTTCAATTCAGGCCTTGCAAGCATAATATCTGTTGCCACAGGTATGAATGCCTTTAAGTAAAGGTGAAAGGGTTACCCACACAAGAGCTTTAACACTGAGTTCATTTTGTAATTAAAATATCCATCCCTGAAAGTCAGCATGTTTCTTTCTTTCCTGTTAGAGAAAGCATTACTCACATATTCCAGCTGCTTTTTGCCGCTTGATCTACTAGTGAGGTCAGTTGCATTTATCATGCAGAAATGATTTCAACATCAGTTTCGGCAGTTAATTTTACTATAGAACAATTGAAAACTAAGAAGTGATGTGCCACTTGAGCCACTAATTAACAAGCACAGGAATGAGATTTGCCAGATAAAGAAAATTTATATATTGAGGTATTTAAAGGTGTGTGCTATATAGAAAACGAGATTTGCCAGATAAAGAAAATTTATAGTATTGAGGTGTGTGCTATACAGAAAATTTTCTTGATCTTTGTATCCTTAAAACTACTTTTGCCTTTTCACTTAAGAAGTTTATGGACACTGTAAAATAGCGGAGGATATATTTTCCAAAGATATCAGATTTCATAATAAACATTTCTCAAATTCCATATAATTATTTTTAACATAGAGGTGTTATTTCCTGAGATGTACTAGTAAAACAGACCAAATTCTGTACTTCCGCAGAATGTTCAGCCTCTTTCCACAAGATTGAGGTCTGCAAGTTCTCTTGTTTTCGGTAGAAACCAGTATCCTCTCATTCATTGCAAGTATCAAGTCATTTGAGCCAAAAAGGAAGAAAAAGAATGGAGGCAAACCCTTGATGCGAAATGAGAAACCATAGTGTTCAATACAGTATTTATGTTCAAACAGCTAAGTTTAATTTCAACTCAAAGCCTCTTTACAGAGAAATTAAAATTTCTAGATAAAGAAAAAAGCCCTCCAGTAGAATACCTTGTTTGCGTGAGCTGGTGGAAATGTTGTGAGCAGGAAATGGAGGTTTTTTTCTGCTGTCTGTCCCCACTCTCAATTAACTAATCCTTGCAGGTGAGGGTAGGGAGAGCGGCCTCCCTTCACAAGGCTCCTGCCCAGCCCCTGGGCTGAGCTGCAGCCTCCCCTTCCCTTGCACACCCTGCTCTCCTGGGGGCCGCCTCTTTAGCCTTTGGGGTGCAGAACCTGTCGGGCAGGGAGCTGCAGCACAAAATAGTTAATTCCCTCATGGTCCTTTCTTGTTGGCTACTTAATATAAGAAGTTTCACAGATTTTCCTGGCTAGTTGCGCGCTGGGGAGGTGCGAGCGCAGCATGATGTGCACTGGAGTCCCTGGCGGCAGGAGCCTCGCGGGCTCCCTGCGCAGGGCTGCTCAGCGGGGCAGGCAGACAGGCCAGCAGCAGCCCTGGCACTTGGGTGTTCTGCAGCTTTCTCCCCAGCTGCTCCCCGTGAGCCCGTCCCAGATGAGCTCCTTATGCAGAGGGAATAAATAACCTGCCTTACGGAGACAGCTGGCCCTGCCTTTCCATCCCCCCCAAGCCCCAGGCACTTTTGTAGAAATTTCTATTATGCATTTTATTTTGTTCCACTGGGAGAAAAAAAGGATAAATCTAATGAGAAAAAAAAGTCCCTGAGGATAGCCATAGCACTCCTGGGTAGCTCAACAGAAACTAAATTTAGATATGGCATTACCTGAAAATAATTATATTAAGACATATATTTCTAACCAAACACTGTTAAGCACCAGTCTGCAAGTACAGTCACTAGTTATTGTGGACTAAGTCATAGCCCATCTTGCATTAGCAGGTTCTTTTTGTTTTTATAAATTAAGTCTAGTTACTGCTCCCCAATGAAGGGTATTAATGTTTCCTTGGGTTTTGCTCTTCTGTATATGTAGCTGGAGTGCCAAACTGTACCTGACCCCGAGTAACATCGTGCTGCTAACGGCTATAGCCTTAATTGGTGTCTGTGTTTTCATCCTGGCAATAATTGGCATATTACACTGGCAAGAAAAGGTAAGTTTAACTAACAAGATTTTTTCTGTATTTCTATACTATTTAGCATTTCCTAATATTTTACTAGTCTTGTGTGTTCTTTGAGTAGCATTCTGCAGTATAAATTCTGACACATCAGACTGCATTAATTCCCCAAAGATAGTTGTTGTTAATTCAGTGTTTATTGCAAGCTTAAAAAATAGCATGTTTTTGTTTAAACACTAAGATAACTAACAAGAAAGGAAGGGAGGGAATCTAATGATCGGCTAACAATCAACAGCTAATAACAGCTATCAGTGGTACCAGCTCTTTGCACTAAGCCACTATTTCCAATAAAAAGTGATTTTTTTTTTTTGGTTCCTATCTAAGCTTTCTCTTTTGTAGAGTTCTAAAGAACACTATAGTCAGGAAGTGCAACATAAACTCAACTTATTTATCTTGAGCTCTCCTGATAATCTAAAAATAAGAAAAAACATCTCTTGTCTCTGTCTGCTGATTGCACTGACATTAGCATTCATGACTGTATGGAGAGTCAATTGTGCACATATTGGCTGCTTTGCTCAGTGTGTCTGAATTATACATGCAGTGTATAGAAATTCATTGATTTGAAGCAGCATTTTGAAAGGGGCCTTTCATGCCACAAAAGGAACACGTTCCTATTTTTCCTAACTATGCTTAGTTCGCAATCATTTCCAAGTGGCAAAATTGCCAATAAATGCAACGACATACCCAAACCATAATCTTAGCTGTCAAATAAAATCATTGCACATTTTGACATGGTAGAGCTGTTTGTTATTTTGTGCTTGTGGAAATAAAATGACCTTGTTAAAAATTCAGGTAAGTTTTGCACTTGCTTCATGTTAAAATATCTTGTCTGACATTCCCAAATTTTCAGAATGTTAAATAATACCTCTAAATATAGGTAAGATTGGGAATTAAAAAAGGAAAAAGAAAGGAATACAAAGTTTATGATGCCTGGCCCTTTAGATAACATGTTGGCCCAGGCATTCCTTGTTAATTGGTAGCTTAGTACACACTGCCTGGGTTTACTTCTGCCTCCAATACATCTTATGCAACAGGAGTATCAGAAAAGATACTCTGGACAGTTCCATTTGGAGAAATGGAGATTAATGTTAATATTTCATATTGATAATCATTCATATATTTTAATGTAAAGAAGCACTCAGCCCATAGTGCTTTCTGAGCTCTGTAAAGACCATTAAGGGAGAATGAAAGAAGCAGTATGGGTTATGTTATAAACTGATTTGACAGCTGCATCTTGTTCAAACTTGGTATAAATATTTGGACAAATTACATATATTTTCGAAGTACCGTATAAAGGTCTGTTAACTCTTATAATTTCCAGGGCATTTGTTGTTTTTTAATCTTCCCAACTTACAGAGGGGATGGTTGAGGGACAGAACAAACAACAAGCTTGACCAAGGCTCTGTTGCACATCACTGGCGTAACTGGGCTTAAACTCAGGAGTTCCTTGTTTCTAAGTTTATGTGGTTTGTTGCCCATTTCAGCAGCCCTCTCATCAAAATACTGCTCTGCTTGAGTCCTGGTTTCCTTTACAGATCTCAAGAGTACTGATAGTAAAAGGAAGGGGAAATGAACTGGCAGTTACAATCTCTGCTATTCCCCCAGAGGATTATCTGTCTGTAATCTGCAGTGTTTTATTCACCAATAAAAATAAATCATGTACTTTGTCCTCTTCAGATGATAAGCGGTAGTAGAAGCCCTTTGTCTACAATGCTTCTTACACAGTCATCTGTCAGCCAACTATTTTATTGTTTAAGTAATATTTGTAGTGTTTAAGGATAGTATGGTGCTCTGTCATATTCCTTGGAGATTTTGGATCCATTTAAAAAAACACGGCTTTCAAACCTTACTGTATTTTAGTTTTGATAGGACGAAAGAAAGAGGAAATGAGGAAGAACTCACAGAGTCAAATGCTTCTTACACAGTCATCTGTCAGCCAACTATTTTATTGTTTAAGTAATATTTGTAGTGTTTAAGGATAGTATGGTGCTCTGTCATATTCCTTGGAGATTTTGGATCCATTTAAAAAAACACGGCTTTCAAACCTTACTGTATTTTAGTTTTGATAGGACGAAAGAAAGAGGAAATGAGGAAGAACTCACAGTATTATTTATTTCACAAAACCAGAGTCGACTACATTAACTAGGACCTCAGTATTCCTGAGTTCTGATTATTTTTGCTCTGCTTCGTGGTGTTGGAGCATATGAATGCTGTACCTTGACAAGGATACTCTTAAGGAAGTTTTGAAAGATTAATTATTGTCAAATTTGAAGTTGTAAATTTTTTTCAGGAAACTTAGAAGACTTAGAACTTAGAATGAAAACTGCTTTCTAGGTGATCATACAAACTTTCGTGGAATATGACAAGCATTTTGGTGGAGGAGGGTGTATGACACTCCCTTCTTTCCACCCCATCTTTGCCATTAAAAATACTACTAATGTTGATAAAGTCCCTGCCAAAAAGTCAGGCTGATACAGCTCGAATTGCACTGACGGTTCTGCTGCTGCCACAAAATGCAGCCAGATCCGTGCGCTGAACCCAGAGGAGTATCTGTCACACACAAACGTTGTCTGATGAGGAAATCTTTGGTATTGAGCCAGCACGGATGACAAACTTTCCTGGCAGAACGCATGCACTGGCTTCTACCAAAGATGCCATTCATATTTATCAACTCAAGATACAAATCTGAATGCCCACACAGCAGCACACTATAAAGGCTTTTCTTCAGTTTACTCATTCATCAAAAAAAAAAAATGTAAGCAAGTTGAGCTAACATTTAAATCTTTTATTGCTGACTTCTCTCATGCTAGGATTTATATTCAGATTATCTGTCCTGAGGCAAACACTGAGTCCTAGAAAAATTAATGATGTGTTTAAAAATAAGTGCTTCCATATTCCATTACTGCTGTGAAGTATAAGGTACGTAGGAGAGGATAACACGTTATTACATACTACATGAGACAGAGGTACAATTTGGATGTGCTTCTTTTTTCAAAGTGCCATCCAAACTGCTCTCTGAGCAGATCAGTGCCTGTTCTGAGTAAACAGGGACGTACAAACTGCCTCACATTTCCTTACTGCAAAAAAAAAACATGGAACGCTCCCCTTTTAGCCTTACTTGGTGCTGCTAATTGTTGGTCGAACAATTTGATCTTTGTCTAAAGTTAGATTTAACAGAAATATATTTTTAATTACAATATAGATAATATTTATGGTTAATTCAAAGTCATTTCATCTCATTATAGTGTAGGCTAAATAATTGCACTCTAGGAAACATTTTTCATTTCTGTAGTATTCCTTTAAAAACATTATTAGAATAATAGGAAATAATGGATCATTAATACTAAAACAGCTGAGCATTAGCAGCAGAAGCCAATTTTGAGTAGTTTGTTGCTAATACAAGCTGCCATCATTTAAAAGGTAATTATTGAGGCTTTTACTAAGCTTTTTACCTTTTTCAACTGACTGACTTGGAAAAAAACCAACTATTCTCTGACATTTGACAACTCATTTCTGTAACGTTAGTGCTTTAGGTTCCATAAAGTGTTTGGGTTTTATTTTTCAGAAAGCAGATGACAGAGAGAAGCGACAGGAAGCCCATCGGTTCCATTTTGATGCTATGTGACATGCCTTAATATTTATGAAGAAGCTGCTGCTCATTTGCTTAATTGAAATACTGAATTCTGATTTGTAAAATGATTACTGTGAGACTGGTGCTGGTATGCTATTTGTAAATGTTGCATTACGTGGTATTTATTTGGAAAGTATTTAAATCAGACCTGAATGTCTCACAAGGCCTTTCAGTAAACAGACTGTATATATTAGCTTTTGGTCTTGTTTTAACAGAAACTGTAAATATATTTTTCTTCGTGAGGGGTCATACTGCATGTACCTCATTGTTTACATACCACTCCTTCTTCAGCACTAGTTGCTGGAAAAGTGTAAATAAAGTTTAGTCTTTCAATGAGCAGAATCCTCAGTACCGTTTGAATTGGTCTTGTCCTTTATACATCCTCGCAAAGTGAACTGCGTTCTGAAGATTAAGCTTGAGCAATTTCTCAGGCGAGACGTTATCCAGTAATTATTCTGGTTGTACTAAATGGTGTTCTGTCTAAAGTGCTCTGTATTTTTCTTGGTTTCAATCTGTATGTGCAGTAGTTAAAGAATTTAGGAACCTGAGTTACTAAAGCAAACCTGCAGTGCTAATGCTAGCTCAGTAACTCATCATGGGATAAATGTAGTATTCATGTTTAGTAGTTCTAGAGAGAAGATTCATTTAAAAAATTAATTCATAAAAATGGATCGGCACAAACTGCTTTTCTAATTAAACTGTAACCATTTTCTTTTTAAAAAGAAGGCCTAGACTCATTATAAAAGTTGTTTTTTTTTCTATTTACTTCTAAGAAAGGGGAGTGGGTTTTTTTTTTTCAGAATTTAAAATAAAAAAAATGAGGTAGAATGAGAATTAAGATTGACTCACTAAAATGAATTACTAATAGATGAGATACAGAAAGATTAAATGAAGACTATAATTGGACTCTCAGAATAAGTAGCATCCATAATCTGTGTAGACTACCTGAATTTCATGAAAAGACTGTTAATAATTTCATACAAAGAGAAGTTTAACCTTCTATATTTAAAAGGCTGAAGAGTAATTTGGATCCTGAAGCAATTTGTATAAATGATCATGCTTTTATTTAATATTTTTTCCTGTATTTGTAGTGATGAGTTTACATGGTTTATTGTGCTTTTACATCTGTCAATTTGCATTCCTAATAAATACAATTTAATAAAGTAGCAGATGCTTTCTCACCAACCTGCCCCTTGTTACTGTACCTGCACTGCAGTGTCTGCTCTCTCTCTTCTGGACTGGAATTTGTCCTGCAACCTCCCAAGCTGCCCACAATCACAGTTCAAATAATTAGTTATAGCAATGCTTAACAGTGACCCCCTCCTACAGAATGAGGAAAATACAGAGCTAAACAGACATACCACGTTATGAAGTTTAGACCTTTCAAATATGAACCGATCATATTCCAGGAAAGGAGACCTCTGTGTTATGTTTGCTACTGCCATTCAGCATAGCACAGTTCCTTAATATACCCCTTTAATGCTTCCCTTTCTTTGCCTCCCTGGCATGAAAAGGTTGATTTCTAGAGAATCCCCAAGTGCTACCATACGTTTTCAGCCCAGTAATGGCATTCTCTGCAGCCAGAGACCTGCCCAGCGGCACCTGCCCTTCCCACAGCGCTGGCGACCATGCCCGCAGCCACCACCGCGGCCGAGTCACCATGAACCCTTCGCATGGCAAAATAAACAGCCATTACTCTCCTTAGGGGTTTCAAAAAACAATTAGCAGTGAAACATGCTCCTGCTGACATTTAAGCTGTCGTCAAGTTAACAGAGCAATGAATTTGGTGTATTTTGTTTTAAGGTATTATGTGTTTGGCAATATGTTGTTGTATCACTTCATACATAAGATATTATTATTGTAGCTTTAATAGCTTTCTCATAAGAAGATTTCAACTTGGCTTACAACAATACATATACTGTTTTGGAATATTTTAAGACATTGAATATTGTTAAACCTCTTGTCAAAGGTTCTATATCAGACTTCCTAAACCACAGGCATCAAAAATATGTTTCATTAAGAGTGTCACCCTTCTACTAGGCAAGTTTAAGAGAGCAACATCAATTAGGATGTGTAGTTCCAGGTGCTCCTCAGAGTAACAGTGAAGCGAGAAAAAAATCTAGCTACATAAATTTTCAAAATACATCACCATAATGCAGCCCTGGTGAGAAACGCTATGGAAAGGCTTTAGTATGAAATCTCACCTATATAAAGATGCTGTTGACATGCCAGCTGACAGATGGCTCTTCAAGTATCAGCTTTCTTTGTTCTCATCTTCTATGCGAAAATTAAAGCTTGAATCATCCTCACAGATTTACCATTAATGCAGTGCAATCCTCCGCCACCAAGAGAACGTTCCTGCTCTGCACAAGTGGCCACACTCCTTGGATGCCCGATCCCGTCTATGGAGAAGCGGTTCCTTCACAGGCAGCTGTTCTGCAAGGGCTCCCCACAGTTAATTGCAGATCCAGCAATGTAAAGTCACCCAGGCAATCTGGGACTTCTGCCTTTCAATGAATGGCAGTTTGAGAGACCAGGAAAAGTCAGTATCTTTCTATGTCCACCTGTACTCGCTAGAACTCAGCTTTGTTGAGACAATGTAACAGGCTTAACCATGTCAGCTTTAAACATTTTAATAACAAAATAATTATTTTTTAAAAATCCAGAAAATAAGATTACACTTAAAATAATAATTTTACACTGAAGGAAAAAAAAATACTAGCACTATTCATTTTATCAAAAATACCTACAACTCAAATGTTCAATAAGGATGAGTAAATTTTCCAATCAAAGACTTTAAAAGATGTCAAGAAAAGAACAGCTGCAGCCACTTTTAAAGCTGAAATGTTGCTGTTCAGAAGTCCTATGTTATCCATTATTCTCCAGCTTTTTCCTCATGACAACAGGCTGTATTTGGTGATGCTGTAGTAATATCAGCCTCAGGTGTCACTTTGAAAATATCAACCACACAGCACTATTTTATAGTGAATCTCTGTCACCAGTGAACAGGGTGATCTTGTCTATGATGCGCTCCATTAAGCTTGTAAAATACACACTAACCTTGTCTTGAAATTCCCAATTTTTATGACCTAACCCAAATAAGTTTCTAGATACATTCTCTGTAGAACACACAGACCTAATCACATTGCCGGGCAAAGACGGGAAGCTTTGTGAAGACCATCAGAATTCTTCATGACCATTAAAAAGGTGCCAGTGTTCTTAACTCAGTAGTAAATAACCAAGTGAAGTATACATACTTCTGTAGGCTTCATATTACCACATGAAGAGGCACTAGCAGTTTCCATCATTTTATAATTATAATATGCAGTTGCATATCATGAAGATTTTTCAAATGCTCCTAATCCCACGGAGGAAGCCAGGTGACAGCACACGTTAGTCCTAACCTCTTGTCAGAATTACTCATTGCTCTGCGGGCTTCTGCAGGCACTGTTCACACAGGTGTTCACGGCACCAACACGAGCGGGCCTGCTGAGCCCAGTGAACTACGTAGGCTTGGAAAAATAAGCACGGCAGCCCGGGGTGCAGCAGAACGCCCCCAGCCAGCTCCGCAAAAGCTGCCTTCAACCCTTGCTAGCTCCCACCCTCAAGTGCGATGAACTCCCACGCACGACTATCTCAGGCTCAAGCACCGTGCTGCTTCCACAGAAGGCAGCTTTCTCAGGCTCAGAGCATGGGAAGGCAAAGTTCCCTCAAGAGCTATCCCAAGTTTTACAATACAGTATTTTAAAGCATCATCTGTCACCAGAATTCTCAAGTCAAAGCAATAGGAATGCACACATAAGAAACCCCTCTGGAAGCAGCTGTAAGGGATAGCAGAATATGACCCAGCTCCATAAGCTGCTGCTGCTGCCCACACCTCACACACTGACAGCTGGACACGACCCCAGGACACAGGGTGGGAAATGTGCTGCACGCTCGCCCGTGTGCAACCGCTCTGCCCACCCCTCCGACACCAGACCGGGATTTGATGATTCACTGTAGCAGAATTGTCTGCAGCTCATACCAAGTTGTATCAAAAAAAGGACTATTTTTTTCCTCATTTTCCTTTGTTCTGAGACAATAGACAACAAATCGTTTCCCTGAATGCAAATTCAATTTGAGATCTAAGAATCAGGCTGGCTTCCTCATCTCTTATGTCTTCATCGTAAGTGACAAAGTAGCTGAGCCAAATCCTGCCTTTGGCTGTGCTCTGCATTCCAAAAAAAAGCCACCCCCTGTCTCCTAACAATCTGTACAAGAGCATAATTGGATTTTGATTTTTGTACTTGAGTACTGCAGGGAGAATTTAAAAAAAAAAAAGTGGATGATGCACAAATACAGTATAAATTATTAGTCTGTCAGATATTTTATAGGATTCCTACTGTCAACACATTTTTTTTAGCAAAGTCAGAAAAAAAAATACAACGATGCACAGAGGGAAGACTTTTTAATACCAGAATTTTCACTGCAGAATGGAGCATTCAGCGCACTGCTCGGAAAAGCCTGGGTTTGAGGGGTGAGCCTGGAGACACGGACCCACCTGGGCTGTAGCATCCCTGCTGGAGACCGCAAGGACAACTCGAGTAAGCGGAACGACACCGCTCCGCGCCGCCCGAGCCTCCCGCAGCCCTGGCCGGGGAGCTGCCCCCCGGGGA